ACAAACAAACCAAAAAACAAAAAAAAAAACCCAAGAAAAACCTGGATATGAACGCAGATTATAAACCTTGGGGGCAAAAAGTACAATCACATAGGAGTTTTTTTCCGCATACTTTAAACTGTCTTTGTGCGAATCCAGTTTTGTTTTATGGTCTAGTGCTGAGAGATCAACTTTCCATCCAGTGCTTGCATCATCCCGACTATCTCTGAGACGTACGTGTGCCACTTTCCTTCCACCCCGTCTGAGAAAAAAAAATGAGGTAGATTCAAGGACCTTAGTTCTAACCTCCTGGGGGTAGAGTATTAAACTTATAATAAACTCATAACATGACAGTACCACTACCAGTATCCGCTATATCCCGTCATCTTGAGACTTGCGCGTTCACGCACCACCCATGCATTTGGACGCACAATTTCCGTCCCCTTTCCCGGCCGTGTTGCCTCCAGCGCACCTGCTGCGCGGTGTAGCGAAACCTGTGGAGGGTATCGCGCGTCACTCGCGTCCCCCTTCCCGACCGTCCGTCCGTCCGTCCGTCCGTCTGTCAGTGATCCTCATGCCGCTAGAATGATTCCTCTTCTTTAGTTCGATACCACCTCCGTTCTGGTATCGAGTCGGTGTCGAGTACATTTCAGTCAAAGATCGTACATAACAAGATACATGTAGTTCACTCCTCTCTTTGAGCCAATTATGAAAGTGTCCTCAAAATCTGGTAGCGCCCTCTTCGAAAAAGTGCGGACTTTGCGAACAGATTGACCCTACTTGTGTGAAGAACAATAAAAGCGAAACTAACAAACTGTTCTATCCCTATTCTTCTTCTGGAGAAACGAAAGAGAGCTTCAATTTCAAAACAAAGACTGCAACGCCATCTGAACCAATGCGCGGACTTCCGCGGACACTTTTTTTTGGCTGAGTGAACTATCTTGTTATGTACAGTCTCTGCTTCAGTTGAGTCTCGGCGGATATACCGAGGATGCTACTTGAAGATCCTACTCCCGTTATTATTTTAGTTCGCTCTGTGTCGTCCCCCC